TTTTTTTAGTATATACAAAAACAGTGAAATGATACACCACATAAAGACGATTTTCACTCATTTATTCTGACGTGTGCAGTAGTTTAGGGTGCAAATCCCGTGCGAGTTGCTTGAGGTGAATAGCTAAGCATATTCGGAGTTTGAGTAACTAATCAGAGCGCGCCTTCAGTGCTATTCACTGTTTTAGTATATGCTAAAAACACTAGTGCCGCACTTAAACTTCGCCTTCCCTCCTATTGATCTACCCACCTACCTACGTAGCCACTTATCTGGAGACACCTACCTACTTCGGTGTCAAGAAGAAGAAGAGAATTACTCTTGTTAGTTTTAAATTGGCTTTGTCTTTCAAAAACGACTATCATACGGTCGCTTCAAAAAACAAATTTCTGATCCAATCGAATCGAGTGATGACGCGCACAAACAACCATGCAAATAAAGGCCAGAATATCCATCGATGACTCTTGAAACGTGGCTTAGCTCTGTTATTATATTTTAGATCGGCAAGCAATTTGTCAGCGAGGAGGGACGCGCTGAATTACAGTCCCAAACAGCAGCTCTTCGTGAAGCCGAGCGAGAGTCTGGGACGACCAAACCTCACCGTGCGCCCCTGAAAAGAGCTGGGACAATGGACGTCACGAAAGCGGTAATTTATTCTTTTTAAAGGCGAACCGCAAGCATTCTTTAGGATGATAACAGACGCAGCGAAGGCTCAAATTTAAGGGAAAAAAAAAGACACTCTTCTCGTAACAATTTATCGCGCTGGTCTCGCCGTATTTCATTTGCTCCCTTTTCAACGAGTTATCTTTGTATCTCAATGAATGTGATGAATACATTGCAATATACCTTAAAATACACATGAAAAAGAGAGCATGGGTGAATAACTTCCAAGATATACTTGTTAACTCTCTCCTCTGGCTGCTACACATTTCTTTGTTCATTAGTTATGAGAATCTGGTGCCAGATCAAGATAACACTGAACTTCTGCCTGATAAGTTTCATTATTCTTTATACCTGTTTACTGGATAATGTATAGATAATACTGAGAGACGTTATAGGTTAATCACTTTTGGGAGTTAAAGGGTTTAAAAGTTTATTTGAATTTCTTCCTCTTCAGGAAGGTGAAGAATTTTTGAAACGCAAGAGGACATAGGATGATCTCACTGTGCCCAAATACAAATAGTAAATAATTTTCCAAGATAACACGTAAACAAAACAGGACATTCAAACAGAAGGCTTTTTTAATCTTCCATAATTAATTAAACGACTAAATGATGTCTCTCCTTCTCTTTGTTGGAAATAAAATAACTTGGTGGTCATGCGTACTGCATGATTTGCCTTCCCTTGCCATTGTGAACAAGTTTTAAGTATTACTAAAGTCTTCACGAGAAGTGAAACACTGAGCAATCCAGGTTTGTACAGAAAGTAAGGGTGAAATCTAAGTGCATACATCTTCTCATTTCACAAAGGAATATTTAAAAGACAAGAAAAGACTGCTAAAATTCAGTTGTTACAAAGATGTGTGCGATCTTTTAAACGCCTCCCAAGCAGCAATGTTTTCAGCAAATTTCTCACGGGCAATTTTTTCCAGCCGAGAAAGGATATTTTTCTGTGCAGTTGAGTGAATGGTTAAACAGATACACAGATCAAGGGTCAAACTTCTTCCATCCTGTTTGATATTTGCTCAGCGTTGATTACGGAACTTTCGGTGCCATCACGTTTATGGTGAGATTTATTCGGATAAAAACCATTTCATAGGTGAAAAACCTTCACATAAAGAGTCTTGAATCGCTTAAGTTTCTATTCTCATGTTGATTTAAAATTCAAAACGAATAGTCACCAATTTTAAACGAATTATTTGGGTTCTCAAAGGGCTATTCGTTTCAGAGCGTGTCACGAAACAAGAGAATCTATGATAAATCAATAATAAACATAATTAAATCAAATTTCTTTCCTAAGTTATCGAAATCGGTAACGCCAGAATGCAGCCAGCTCTCCATAGCAAGTATACTTGCTATACACTACAAGACCTCTATTTGTCCTTGCCATGTAGCTTAATATCAGATTGTTCCTCACTCGGGTGAATTTTGTAATCGACGTCTTATTAAGTATAGTTGTGGTTATGTAAAGTAAACAAAGCCTTCGACGCCGAATATGTTTTGGTCGATGCTTCACTAGGAGGGAGCAAAGCTATAATTGTGTTGTTTTTAGGTAGGAAACTACGTACTCCATTGCGTTTAACATATCTGGAAAACGTTTTGTTAACTTGAATGTGCAACGAGATGTATCTTAGTGTGATATCTACATTTTGTGACTTGTGAAGATAAATTTTTTTTAGGTCACTAAGTAACGCGAGTGAATTAAAATACTACTGGCCCTACTCAAATTCAAGTTATTTACGAATATTCTACGTTAGAATTTGAAACTCGTTCCCAGACAGGTATCATCAAGAGAGTATCGTT